TCTCTCTCTCTCCTCTCTCTACCTCGTCTCGTCTCGCTCGCTCTCTCGCTTTCTCTCTCTCTCTCTCTCTCTCTCCATCTCTCATTCTGTCTCTGTTGTTGTTTCTCATCCTTCATCTCGCTCCCTCTCATTTCTCTTTCCCTGATCTCTCCACCATCCCCCATCCTCCTCCTCTCTTTGCCGCCCTCTCCCTCCTCTTCCTCCTTCTTCTCCCCTCTCTCCCTCTTTATCGTGCGCGCTCACGCATCGTAGCTTAGTTAGCCCGTGCTCGCTGCTCTGACATATTCTATGTGCTGTATAACCCGCGGATAAATATACCATGGCACTCATCGCCTGCGCATGACACAGAGCGGACACGGGTATGATCACAGCATGTGGGAGCTTGAGTGTACGCAGCGAGTGATATGGCATCTCAGATTGCCATGCGTTCACATATAGTGAGATATCTAGTAGCCATGTGAAACCATCAGGTCTGACCCCCGCATTCACACAGTGAGATATCTAGTAGCTATATAGCAAAAACATCACAGCCTCCCACGTATTCAAACAGTGAGATCTCTAGTAGCTATATGAAACCATCAGGTCTGACCATGCGTTCGCACAGTGAGGTCACTATAGTCGTTATAGGAAACCATCACAGTATTCCACCCACGTATTCAAACAGCGAGATCTCTAGTTAATCAGTTTGCTATTCATTCGCACTGGCCTGGATCCTCACACAGTGAGACCTCTGGCAGCTCTGGGAAAATGTAGACATCAAACAGCGCGAATACACGCAGAAGCACGGTGCGTGAGCTAACAATACATTCGCACAGTGAGATTTAATGTGGTTAATAGCCAGGAAACCACCCCTGCAGTGCGAGCGGTGGTGGATGAACGGATGAAAGGGTCAGCACCATTATGTTTGTAGCGCATCCTTTACTGCCATAAACACGTGTCTATTGTTTACTGTGCGACCATTCGATATATTCAGTGGAGGATGGGTGTCTATTATATATATAATTGGTGTAATAATCTAGTACTTTGTCAGAGGCAGGCATTCACAAACGATACAGGATGGTACATTGATACAGATGGCTATAGAAGAATGATTAATCTGAACAACTACGTGCTGCCGAAGTAGAGCATATATATATACATATAAATAAATATAAATATATATATATACATATATATATATACTAATGCGTATATGTGAATAATCTACGTGCTTCACACACCGCGGGCGCGAACGCTCACGCAGCGACGCACGCCCACGCAAGCACACACACAACCACACACACACATCACTACATCACACACACACACACAGCACACACACACACACCACCACACACACACACACACATCACACACATATATACTATATAATATATATATATATATATATATTATATATATTTATGCGTAATGGCACAGGGCGTCACACGGCATGAACTATGCGGCGGTAAATTGTTAGTCCGCGTACACCTTGTAGTGTCAACAGCCGTAATTGCGACGTTGTTCACGCCGCCCGCCGTTCTGTACCCGCCGGTCTTGCGCCACCAGTTCTTGTGCACAAGGCATGGCCTTATTCACGATAAAACTTTTAAGCATCCGTAGTAGAATCGTAGCTGTGTGACTAGTCACCTAGATGAGCGCTATGACCGTAGCTGAATAGGAGCACTGGTGTACGTGAAGCCTTCATGACACAGGGGTCAGATGGTGCTAAATGCACATGCAGGAGGGGCGTGTGGTGAGAGGGCAGGCCAAATATAAACCTGCTTGTGAGTTCATAGCTTGAGTACAAACGGCGATGGTAGACATTTGATACCGGCGAGTAGTACGATCAAATCAAATACATCGCTAGCTTAGAAGACAAGCTGTTGATAGACCGTTCCTGAAAGAAATGATTAGCAGGAGAGCAGGGGTAGAGAGAACCCCGTGAGCATTATCACTATATCGCACAACAATCGGCGCTATAAAAACATAATGAATTATCATTAAATTATATAAATAACATGTTCTCGTGTAAAAACTAAATTCAGTGAATCCTGACATATACATAGACTAATACGCACAGTAACCGGACACCGTGGGAGATAGGCTCACATGCTGGATGCGTGTTTTATGCTCGCGCACACAAACACGCACACGCCCCTGCAGTTGCATATGCAGTTTTTGTTAGATGGTTTTAATGATAAGACTCTGCGGTGCAATAAGATGGGCATGCGTGTCCTTGCCACATGGCCAGCTTTTCTCAACCTCAGCTGCAACATCACACGCTAGCACGGGCACACACGCGCACTCTTTTAAAAAATATATATATATATAATTATATATATATATATATAGGCCTATACTCTTTCCGTCCAGCAGAAGCTGCAATGAAGTAAAAAAACGCCACCGACACAATATTCTCGCGCACAGGCCGCCGCCACTATTTCATTCACAGTCCCGCGAACATGATGTCTGCTCACACCAACCCCTACCGGTATGTCGGCCATTACTCGCCATCGCACTCACGGTGGTACGCGCAGACGACAATCTAACTAACGCACACACGTGCATGGTTGATGCACGTGACGTGAATCCCGCTATGACATTCCTGCATGCTGCTCACTGTGGATAGCTGGTTTGCTGGAGTGCTGAAGCGGGAGGTTAAGGGGTGGTCTCTTTCAAATTCAGAACCCACCACGTTTAACACATCACACAAGTCTGCGGTTAATGTCCTGTGCCGATAATTTTATTTATCGTCAGAGATATTAATGAGTTTAATTGGTTTTATAGGCAGGTAGATGGTTATATTTGCCCTTTTCCACATGGGTCGGCCGCGGAGATGCGATAGTATGAAAGAGGGAGATGTGCGTGGGGATGAAAAATATCAAATATCAAATAGTCATGGTTGTGAAAAAACAAATGCGACTTAAAATGCAGTTATTGGACAAGATTGCCAACAGTGTTAACCATAGAAATAATATACTAGTTAGACTATATGTTTCTCCCTCTTCTCTCTCTCTATATATAATATATATCTATGGTATAAATTAACACTCGTTTTAAACATCGTTAGGATGGCAGAGCTACTTAAAATCATTTGTTATCGCTCTTAAACCTATATCTCTGCTTATATATACCTATTTATACATCTATATACTCTGTTTACTGCGAAATAGATTTTGCATGCATTTGTTGTGATTTCCAACCACTGAACCTTCCGGTTTTTAATTATATTCGTAGAGTAAACACACGCACTGCGATTTCGCAACGCACGCACAGGCGCACTCACTAAACACGGCCAGAGGCTGTCCAGCACGTCGCGACTCGAGTGGAGGGAGGTATACTTCTGGTAAACACACGCACGCGCACGCACGCACAGGCGCACTCACGGAAACACGGACAAAATTACCTAAAATTACTTAAAATTGCCTAGAGTCAGACACGCGCGCATGCAGGCACGCCCTCACACACACTACTAAAGAATTCAGTTATATTTACGTACAATTTCTGCTGTTAGATGATCGGTATCAACCACTTCATAACACAATAACCACTTCAATCATGGACAAAGTAATCGAAGCACCACTAACCAAAGCCTGCCTACCTGGAACACCGAGAATATGTACGGAATATATATACAGTACTAACATCCTACTATAATATGTACGGAAAATCTAGGTAGAACACAACATCATGAAATATCAATTAGCACCCGAGGATTTATGGCGAGATAATGAAAGTAAATACAGATAAATTAATTAGTTAAACTCACGTTAGTGCGACATCGCAAAATCCCATCGTAGACCCCGCGAGACGTCCACGATGATAGAACTTAATACCTCTATGCAATGTTTTCTGTACATAGTCGTTCGTAGCGAAATCTCTCTTACTTCGGATGCTCATCCTCTCATCATGGCATACATCTCGTTCATCTCTCTTCAATCTCTTAACATCTCTCTCTCTCTCTATCATTCTCTCGATTTCTCTCTCATTCTCTCTCTCTCTTTTCTTCTTCTATCTCTACTCTACTCTCATCTCGTCTCTCTCTCATCTCTAGTCTCTCTCCGCATCTATCTCTTACTCTCTCTCTCTGCTACTCTCATACTCTCATCTCTCTCTCATAACTCATCTCTTTCTCTTTCTTATCTCTCAATATCTCTCTCTATCTCATTTTCATCTTGTTCTAATCTTCTCTCGTATACTCTCTCTCTCTCTCTCGATCTCTCGGTCTCTCTCTCTCTTAATCATCTCTTCCCATATCATAATCTATCAATAATCTATCTATCATATCGTAATTTATCATATCTATACTAGCATATCTATCTTATCTAATCAGTATCATATCATCTATCTAATCATATCATAATCTAAATCTATCTAATCTAATCTAATCTATCTATCTATCTATCTATCTAATCATATCATAAGTCTATACTATCTATATCTATCAATCAATTATCATATCTGTAATCTATCATAATCTAATCATATTTATCTATCATAAATCTAATCTTATCTATCTAATGCATATCTGATTCTAATCTATTAATACTATATATCTATACGTATCTATCTAATCATACTCTAATCTATCCATATCTATCTAAATCTAAGCTAACTCTATCATATCAATAATCTGATCAATAATCAATATCTTATAATAATAAAATATTAGCTATGTACTTAACACGGTAAATCAACAGTGTCACGTACCGAGCTCCACCCACCCCAACAGGCACAAGTATTACTTACGCGACCAGTGCACCTGTAACACCCTACCCTACTGACCGGTGGTGACTAACTATAGCTTGACCTTTTCACCTAGAGCTGGCTAGACTAGCTTCCCAAGTCTCTGCGCAGCTTCAAGCACGCACCTATATATATAATTACTCATAACTAGACAAGGAGCCGCCACTCGTAGTCCACCCAGGCTGATCTATATACGTAACTAGTCTATAAGCTGTGAGTCACGGGTCATTGTTTTACTACACACGACAGACGCAAGCATTGTGGCGTCATCGGGTCACGTGACATATCGCACACGTGAATACTGAGCAGGTAGAATACAATTATTCACGACCGGTCTTACCGCACCAGCATTCAACAGCTGTTATACTATGTGACCATATTAGCCGTGGTGATCGACTATTGTTTTACTATAATAGTCATCCGTCTCATTGCCGGCTCAAACCCTCCTAAGCTCCTTATCTCATATCCTATCAACCCTTCCAACATGGCTGTCTGCTGTTATGTTAGCATAAGGGCCGTTGTGTATGACATGTGTATATATATGTGCGGTGTGTGGTGTGCGTGTGCGTCGTGTGGTTTGTGAATGTGCTTGTGTGTTGTGTGTGTGTGGTGTGTGGATGTGTGTGTGTGTTGTGTGTGCGGTTGTGCGTGTGTGTGTGGGGTGTGTGTGGTGTGTGTGTGTTTGTATGTGTGCGTGCGGCTGCGTGCTTGCTGTCGCGTGCGTTGCGTGGCGGTGCGTGCGTCGCAGTGTGGTGTGCGTGTGTGTGTGTGTTACTGTGTGTGTGTGTGTGTATGTGTGTGTTGTGTGTAGTGTGTGTGTTGTGTGCATGTGCTCTTGTTGTAGTGCGTGCGTGCGTGCGTCGTGCGATGCGTGCGTGGTGTGTGTGCGTGGTGCGTGTGTGTGTGTGTGTGGGTGTGCTGTAGTGTGTCATGTGTTGTGTGTGTGTGCGTGCTGTAGGGCCTATGTGTGTGTGTGTGGGAGGGGTGGGGTGCGCGCGTGCATGTGTGTGCATATCACAGCACGCACGCATACAGAAAGAAAACACACAAGAATACATAATATCCAATAATTCAACTCGAAAATACGAAGCTAGTTATACCAACTTCAAGTCGCGTCAGAGATTACAAACGCCAGAGACGCAGCAACTATGTTATGACGCGTCACAGGGATCACGTGATTATTCCGAACAGGTGAGTTAATTAGCACGTAAAAAAATTAACCTCATTACGTGAAATAGGAGTAGCACCGCCCCCGCGGTTGATAATCAATTACAGGCATTAGCTGTCGCTGGCAGGGGTTTCCACTGCACCTACATGGCTGCTGACATCGTTGATGTGAAGGAAAGGTGAATGATAAAGTATAATAAGAAGCTATATGTATAATATCAAGAGATAATAATAGAGGTATTATTAGCTCACTGATAATATCTAATACGTATATCTAATAAGTATAATAAGTATAACTATTAATAAATAAAGTATAGCCTATAAGTTAATTAACGCTATAAGAATAAAGAAGCTGTATACGTAAAAGTATATTAATCAGCTACAGATTAATTACGAACGGCATGGCGTATTTAACACATACTCTGTAACTGCCCATGTACTTGCACGCACGCATGCGCGCATCATAATCATTGATCATTATCCGAATCATACATTCGCTGCTGGTAGAAGGCATGATGAATGAATGCATGAATGAATGCGGGGGCGTGCGGGGCTTGGGCGGGGGCTAAACTGTGACCTGTGTGTATGTATGCGTGTGTATAGCTAGTTTGCGCGGTATATTGTAACAACTAAGACGTGCGCTAGATAACATCAGGAGTAGATAATAGGGAATTTTTTCCCCTATATTCTACTCCTGATAACATAGAACTATAGCCAGTGTGTTGGGTAGGGGGATGCGGGGTCGGGGGAAAGATCGCCGGAGAACCAAGGGTTGGGTGAGACTGTTGGAAAGTAGGAGGTGAGTGAAGGCGTCGGCGATTGGCTAGGGGACAGGGAGAATATAGAGAGATATAGGTGAATGAGTGGAATAGAGAGGTAGGAGGCTTGAGGTGTAACACTCACCAGTCTAACGACCTCTTGCTTGCCATCTTTTCTCATGCGACCCAGCTCTATCTGATGCTGCTCGTGCATAGCCCTGATGTCTGTCGCCTTCTGTCTGTCGGCCTCTATGATAGTTTGCAGCTGCTCCTCCAGGTGGCGCTTGTTGCTGCGTAGCTCGGCCACCTCGTTCTTCAACCTCCCGATGTCAGCTTCGTACTTCATCGTCGATTCCCGGCCCTGCGCTGCCTGCTGCTGCTGCAGCGCCACCTGCAGGTGCGCAGCCAACTCTTCGTTCTGTCGGGTTAGTTCGGATTTTGTCTTGGAGAAGCGCTCGTCCTTCGATCGGATGACCTTCTCCATTTCAGCGCGGTAGCACTGCGTTAGTAGCTCCTTCTGGCGGAGCAGCTCGCTCTGCTTCTCCTCGCAGAGTCTCGCTGTCGAGCTCCTCAGCGCCTCGGCGGATATCCGGCGCTCCGTCACGCGAGCCTCGCGCTCCCCCTGCGCTCTCTCGCGGAGAAGCTGCCGGCATTTCTCCTGCTCTGCCTCCAGCCGCGATCTTAGGTCCAATATCTCCTCACGCAGGCTGTCATTGGCCACTCTGAGCGAGTCGTCGGCGGGGAGGCACCCTGTGTCGGGCCTCCGCGTCGAGGACATGATGAGAGGCGGTAGTGTGTCACACTAGCACGCACGCACGCACGCACGCACGCAGCGTATGCGTATAGGCGGGTGGGTGTGGTGTGGTGTGGTGTGGTGTGGTGTATGTGACGCACTATCGCCGCGGTGAGCGATGTACGGACGGATGTATACGGTATAGCTGGCCACTTCCTGAAAAGAAAGAGAGGGGTTAGTGGTCCGATTATAGTTATACACCGCGAGAAAGGGACAGATGGACAGGAGAGATGGAGAATAGGAGAGGGACAGGGGGAGACAGGGGGAGGAGAGAAAGGGGAAGGTAGAGAAAGAGAAATAGGAAGAGAAAGATAATTGAAGAAAGGAAGAACGAGAGAAGGAGTTAGGGAGAAATACAGGAGCCACTGAATCATATAATATGTACATTCTCCTATAACGTCATCCCGCTCATCACGCACTTACCTTTTCTATTTACTACATCTTAAAATCACAACCTACGGCTTGGCTTCACTGATATTGTAGGAAGAACCTTCGCGCGCACGCACGCGCGCACGCACGTCGCGCATAGCAGCGGTTCGCTCACCGAGTGGAACACTGACACGCAGGTGCTGCGCGTGTTGCTTACTATAGCTGCTGTGTGTGCGCGTGCGGCCGGAACAGCCACCCGGTCATTACGGCTCGTCACTGTACACATAGCCGGTCGAGGGACGGTGAGGAGGAGGGGCGGAGAAGGGGGAGGAACACAGAGAGAGGTAAACACACTAACAGGAGCGTGCCGTACGTGTGAATAGCGGAACCTAAATGACGGTATTACGCGTGGAATTTACGCGACAGAAACTAGATTCTTTTGCCGTGTATCCATACGCTTGATTTCTTGTTTTCTTTTTTTCCATTTCTCGATGGAAACGCGATGCAAATTAGCCATTCCCACCTGTGTGGTCCAGAAGTTTTTTACCGAAAAAATTATGCAAGAATAGTATATATCTATGAGCTTACCCGGGTTCAGTCATCGCCAATGACTGCCATGACCTCTATGATATATGACGTCACGCTCAACCGTATGAATAGAAAGCGCGGATTCGATTTCTATGCAACTAGTCGAATTTGTATAATGTATAGATATATATGCGATTTACTATTTGGCAGCTATGGTCAACAACGGCACTAGACACCACGAGTTTCTCACGAATGGAGCTGTCACCGCGGTGCTGCGATGGACTTCCGCGTGTCGTATAGTTGTAAAAGAATTACACGTATAGAGGAATTATGTAGAAGCTCACGTCAGTGACACGGGGATGAAGGGGGGAGGGTCACCCTCACTCTAATATATAAAGAGTGTGTGTGCGTGTGCGTGCGTGCGTGCGTGCGTGTGTGTGCATGTGTGTGTGTGTGTGTGTGTGTGTGTGTGTGTGTGT